AATTTTTTTTATAATGCATTAGAAAAATCAATACATCTCAATCAGGTATTAATTAATTAATAAAAAATCAGATTGATACTCACAAAAGATCGTGTGGGCGAAACGGGCGAAATCATTCGATTCGTCCTGAGGTTTTCCTGTCTGTTTCAGTTCCGCAAGTGAAAGGGAAATGAAATTTCAGTTTCCTTTTTTCCCTGAACCCCCAGACGGCGGAATCGGTTATACCCTCTCCAGAAATCTCAGCTCGTTTCCGCGATTCGTGCAGCACAGCCCCTACCCCCCCCTAAATTCACCCCTCCCATTCAACCCCCCCACCCCCAAACCAATTTCCGGAACTTTCTCCTCGAATGTCACGACCTGTTAGTCGACTGGGGATTACAATGCAGCTTTCGTTTCGTTTTCTCCACCCTCTCCGCCCTGATGTCTCCTGCACGCTCCAATGAGACTTGAAAAAAAAAAAGAAATTGAGAAAAACTCGAGGATTGAGTGACACCCGAATAACTGGGATTTTAGGCTCATTGTGATTATTTCAATTTCACTCTCAATGAATTTTTTTTTGAAAAACAATTCATCACCCACTGAAATAAAATAAAAAAACTGGAATTCCTCTGCAATTGAATTCCGCTGATTCCTCATGAAATTAATTCTGAACTTCCCAAGGGGAAGGGATTCACCTAGAGCAAATGCACTTACCCAAATAAAATATGATAGAAATAATTAGTCAATAATGAAGAGAATGATAATAAGTGGTCTCGATACCTAGTGGGATTTCCTAGATATATCTTGAAATCTAAAAGATATATCGAAATTATCCTCAGAACCTTTTTTGTAGAGGGAAACGAGAGTTACAAAATCGGTATCAATGAAAATTTCACCATATCCCCCGGATTCCGAGATATTCCGCGAAAACTCAGCGACTGCCACTGGATTTTGATTTTCATCTGGCAGTAAAAAATAAAAATAAAAAAATCAAAAAAGCAGAAATTATTGAATAAAAAAGCCTCATCCCAGAGGAACAATTCAATTCAATTTCCGAAGAACTGAAGATCTCGATAAAGATAGAGCAATTAAGATGAGAATATAAAGTACGAGAGGGTGACTATAAAATTCTTTTCTCTCATCGTTGAGACTCGTTGAACTTGGGCGGCCATAAGGTGGAAGAAATCCATTGGATTACGTACCCAATCGACAATCCTTGGCAAAACCCAACGGGGGAGAACAGCGAACCGATCCCTTTCATGTACAATTCCAAAGTGGAAGTTGCCATTGTATAAGAAAATGGAGGTGTGGGGATACTCGTACCTATTTTCAGTCTAGAATAGCATCAGCTCCTGCACACTTCATTTCATTTCATTCTCTGGACTGATGTATCAAGGGGTAGCAGAGGAAATTGAAGGAAACAACTCGATTTTTCTTTTTTATCCTCTAACAATTTCATTCATCAATTGCTTTATTTAATTGCATACAATCCAGTATAATATAGTTATCTCCGTATATCTACAACGTTTTTTTTTTTTCCTTAAAAAAGAATATACTTATGCTTACGATTAGGTTATCAGATAATCCTCGTGACTATTCCTGATATTACATTTTAGGTTTTAGTTTTTGGGTTGATTAAGTCGAGAGTTAATCTCGTATTCCTAATGTTCTCGTGTCTTATTAGTCCCTTGGATCGAGAATATCGATTGGGGATTTGGATTATTTAAAAATTAATGAAAGTATTAAAAAAATTTTAACGCTGAATTGACGAGCGGCGATGGTAATTTTAATATAAAATCGAGAGTTCGATAGCTGTGAAAAAGTAGTTGTGAATTAAATGGAAAATTTCCATAACACATTTGAATTTATGCTCTCAGTTAATGGTGGAAAAATGTGTGGGAAAAATGCCCCCAGTGTATTGTGCACAATTTTCATCCCTCTCTCGTAACGTGGAAAAAATAAAAAGTTTTTCAAATGTTTTACAGTAACGAAAGCCAGGGGGTGGGGTAAACGAAGGTATTTCATCGAACACCGCACAATTTCTCTGGAATTTTTTTCCATCTAGTTTTTTTATTATCTCTCTCTTTTTCGAGGGTAAAACCACGATGACCACTGGGAGTTGACTATGTACACATTCTGCTCACCGTATTTTTGCCTTTTCCGGAGTAAAAAAAAATTCCCCAGTTTGCGGGCTCACGTTTGACCTAAGGATTCAGGTATCGATGAGGCTTTTTTTTTTAAAAAGAATCATTTTGGTGGGTGCAACTTCCGATTGGAGTCATTCGTGCTTATCCAGCTTTTCTCTCGGTATTTCGATTTTACTCAGACCGATAAACGGAGGGGAAAATAAATATTGCCGTCCATTCGAAAGTTTGATGAACACCGAAAAACAGGGATTGTCAGTCGGGACTTCTTCAGCTAGAAAGTTTTTCCATCGGACAGCCACGGAAACTATAATGGCAAATGTAATTTGTTCGTCGGATCTTCCAACAAAGTTCAGGGGTTTTGCATCGGTGCGTGGGGAGAATTTTTTCCGGAAAATTATCCGTTTCCTCGAAAAGGGGATTACGAATTTTCTGGACGGCGAAGAGTGCGAGTTAAGGGGAAAAATCGAGGAATGTCAGACACAAATTCGTACGAATTTTTAATTATTTGAATTTAGATTCAATTTGAATTGCAAACGGTCACTATATTTATAATTTATTTGGGAAATTGAAAAATTGAAAAAATCGGGGTTTATGTTAAATGGTAATTCATTTTTCGATGGAAACCTGAATTTTTAGAATCATCAAAAATTCAATATGAATTACAGTTGAATTTCCAACAGATTGAAAAGCTGGAAAATTATTATTTCAATTTTCAGTTCCACATGAACCGGAGAATGGAGAATTACCAGAATGTTGGACGAATTAAGTGATTAGTCAATCGAGAATTTTATAGAAATTCAATATTACTTTGACGTTGTAAAAATTTTCAAATATAATTTTTCAACGCTAGATCACTGGGAATCCCAGGGAAATTAGAGAGGATTTTACTTGAAAAACGGTGGAATTTTTTCCGAGAAATTTTACGCATGGAAATTGTAAAAAAAAATCTAAATACCACGGTTGAAGGGCCTGAAACACTGAGCGCCCAGAAACAAAAATTCAGCGTCAAAGGGGAAGCAAAAAAAAATTAAAAAAAAAAACAATTTCACCTCCGAAAATACTCAACCGCGAGTATAATCCTCATAAAACGAAAATACCCCGAGCTATATTTCACCGCTGAAATTGAATTTTTGTTTGTTGTTAAAAAGAGATGTGAGATAATATTCAAAAACGGGTGTGAATTCACACGGCATCACCAACAAGCCGTCGAGATGAGGGAGTTGGTCTCAGAGATAAGAGTTAAATCTAAAAACTTTTCTGACCAAATTTTTCTGGAGACGTAGAAATGAAACCAAGCGCTGAGCGGATGGAAGATGAAAGGTAGGAAATACAGGGAAGAACATTTGCCATGAATTCTACATTGGAAATGATAAGAAAGTGGATGGGGATTTTGTCGGGGAGTTGAAACGATTGGTAAATTCAAAATCCCGGGAGAAAAGTCCATTGCAACTAGCATCCGGAGTAAGTGCTTCCTAGGTCTCAAACTTTTACCCGGAATTTATCGAATCCCACTCTCACCAAAGTTGAATCTCCGAGACGTCATTGTGACGTGCGTCTATATCGTATTCGAGTAAGTTGTGCTTCAAATGAGAAACTAATGTTCATATCAGTAAAAAGAGGAAAAACAGATCGAGATTATGCACTAACAGAAGAATTTTATTTTCATTACCCGATCAATTGTATTGAATTTTTTTTTAAATACGTATTCGTTGGAGTTGAGTGGAAATATTATTAATTTAAAAAAGTATAATTTTCAATGGAGTTGTAGATTCGGTAGAATTTCCAAGATAAACGAGAGAAATTGCATTGAAATGCAGAAAAACTCAAAAAAATTTAGCAGAAAATGGAAAACTCTCGGATGACGTCATCTGCTCGTCTTTCAAAACCAAACAATTCCGACGATGGAAATTTCCACATAATCGCGGCTATACCCTGTAGAACACGGTGAAACTTATGGCCTATATAAAATCTACCAACATTATTATCGTGCCACTAAATATCTCTAGACGTAATCTGTCATTTTCTCGACGATGGTGTAGACTTTGAGCTTCATGCCTCAGCAGCACCCGGTGAAAAAAGATCTCGCACTTTCAGGAGAAATTTTTTAATTCTGAGAACATTCGATCTTATCTTTTCCCTTAAAATAGGTCATTTTCCCTTTACGACGGGAAACTTGCGAGGAGAATTTTAGTGCTAGGATTAGTCGCATAAATTTAACTCCTCGTTTCTTCAATTTAATGATTTTCCATTTTTCCCCTTTTTCCGTAAAAAATCTTCGTTTACGTAAGTCCGGAGTCGAGAATTTCTCGAATTAATGAATTTCCCTTGGGAATGGGAAATCTTGTATGTTCTGGGTGTTCCTAGAATAACGGGATTTTATTCTTTAAAGAAATCTTTTTTCCCTGTGTATTTTTCATCACTATCCACAATAGTCATCAGGTGAAATAAATAATTAATAAACAAATAATCCCCAAAGAACATCCACAACCAAATCACGTCGAGTATCTCGTGAATCCGCGCAGTACCATCATCCCGTCTTCGATCCATTCTGGATAATATGCAAATTAAATCAATCTCCCTTGTGAATAATTGCACCGACCTCTGGATAAAACTTTAACCTCTCACAACTACCCAAGAGCCCAGATCTCAATTCTCAATCCCCCATTGTCTCCCGCAGAATGATCAGCACGACATTACGATCAATATCTTCCATTTGGTTTCGACGCCATTTTCTCAGCGCAGGTACTTCGCCGCCATTTTCTCCACAACTAATACAAATACATATTTATCCACACTAAAACCTTCAAAGTTCAAGAACAGATAATTTTTCTCGATCTATTAAATTAATCTCAACAAATTAATTACATTCTTCAGTATTTAACATTCAATGTTTTTTTTTCAACAACAAATTATACTCTCGAAATTTTTCACTGAGCGTTAAAATAAATACCCAAAGAATCCGTGGCATCACCGAATTGACTCGATTTTTTACATTACTGTTACGATTTTTCTGTAACGTTGAGTAAAAATTACGGTGAACTAAAATAAAAATTCGGGTTAATTCTACAATTTGTTTACAAAACAACACATTTACGAAATGACCACGTAATTTTTCGAGTATTTTTTCCACGCGTCCATTGAGCGTCCGAAAAAAACCAGCAAATAGAAAATAAATCGAATTTTCACAATTACCCCATACATAGACGGCAATAAATGATGAAAACCCGCGGCAAACGGCGCCAAAAGCATTTTCATCCGGCAAACCCGATAAAACCTCACCCACATATCGAAAGACAGTCATAACACGCACTCACTCTACTAATATCAAAACATATCACCCCCTAGAGTGTTATTGAGCACATTTTCACAGTTTCCACGAAGAAAAAAAAAATCTCCCCTCTCCACAAGTCCGAGGAGAGTGTACCCCTCCTTGGAGCAGGTGTCACCACTCCCAAGAGATAGACTCGACAAGTGCCGAGTCCTCAGAACACTCGAAGAAACCCAAGGAGATAAGGAATGGCTGCATTTAACGCCAGGGGAGTCCCCGGAGTGCCTCAACCCACGGCAGTGCGATCAATTCGCCCTGCGTTTCCTGGTTTACAGTCGAGGGCTGTCAACAATCCCCACAACCCAGCGTTTAACCTGCCACCTGTCCCCTCGAATCCATTGCAAAGCGTCACTGCAATTGACCAGTTGCGGTGGTAATTCCCTTACCCCTAGCCCCTCTCCATCCTTCCCCGCCACAAGTTAAAACCAGTGGTCAGTCACTCTGACACGTGCAGCAACGTGGGTGATAGCCTAGGTTAAGCTCTCACGTATGTACACGACTCCCCAGGTATATTTCGTAAACAGTCCCTCAAACGTCGCTGGATTTGGCTTGATCATTGCGCCGACGCTCGAGTCTAGCTGTCCCTCAGACATCCATGGCATCACCAACGTAACCCTCGTCTGGGCTCTCAGGATGATCGGGTGGTCGTGGATCATCAGCTCTTGCTGCAACAGCAGCTGCTGCTTCATGGGCTGTTTTACTCATGAGTGATCTAGGTGATAGAGGTGTTGGTTCACCCTTGTATGCCGCTGGGGGTGACGGTATGAATGGCACATCACTGACCTCTGGCATTGCAATCTCCGGTGAGACGTACGGTGGTATCTGAAGGGGTTGTCTCACTGGTGATGTGATTGGCTGATAGGCTATTGGATATGGATAACCATCAGCTGTGTAACGTGTGTCAGGACGTGACAGCACTGCTGGATCGTGTGGAGTTCTTGCTAGAAATTCAGCTTCACGTGTGTAACGAGCTGTTGGTGCTGCTGCTGAACCCTCTGGTATTCTGTGCCGTAGGCGTGGTAGTGTACAGCTCACTGGATTGAGAGATATCTTGGGTAGACCGAAGTTCAAGGGATAGCCGTCCTGATCGAGATAGGGAATTTGTGAGAGACTCGGGCGATCGATCGTCGGTTGCAAGGAGTAGCGAGTGTCAGCGTAATCGAGAATTCCTCGGGGCTGTGGACGCTGGTGCTGGTAAAGGGTGTAATTTTCACTGCTCGGGGGATTTGTCGATGGGTATACTTCGTTTATCAAGTCCGGCTCGGTCAAGTACTTGGGGACTGGTCCTCTATATGCCTCAACTGTCTCACGTCTGTCCAGTGATGCTGTACGCTGGAGTTCTCGCTCTGTGTACATCACCTGCTGGTGATTATCGAAGTTCAGGGTGTCTGTTACCGTCTTGTGTGGAAGTGTCTCTGATTCTTTGACAATCGGTGATGATACCTTGCTCTGCGAGGACAGGCTCTTATCATTTCGCTTCTGGTCCCGCCGTCGCTTTGCGCACACGATTATTCCACCGATCACGCAACCCAGCGCTAACAGGGTACCTACCAGAGCACCTGCTGCTACAGCTGCTACGTAACTCGTGTTGGTGTTCTCGAAGGGTGGCTCCACTGTACTTCTCTCCTGGAATTTCACTCGGATGGACAAATTCGAATCCACTGTGCCAGCTGTGTTTTCGGCGGTACAGGTGAATGTACCCTCGTCACTCTTGTCTGCGTTGAAGAGGTGAAGAAGATTCGTTGAGTTTGTGAGACCCTGTTGTTTGCAGATGTATCTAAAAAAGAGAAGCGAGAGTTGTGGAATTTATGGGGGTCTACTATCAGGGAAGACAAATAGAGAATTTGGATTTCAATTGAAAGGAACATTTTCTTCGATTCACTACAAATTGTTAAGGGAAATAAATCAATACAATACAAAAGACAAAATTTTCCGGAAAAAATTTCCACGGAATCAATTTCAGCCGAAAGGAATTATCGCCCTAACACTTTCTTTTTTCGTTATAAAATTTATTTGAGAATCTAGTCATTAACGAAATTAACAATATTATTACGGTGTTATTATAAATGATGTGAAAATCATGTTGTGATTACAATACGTAATTACTGATAAAGAATCAATTTTTCTTTAACCTCCGATAAGGAGAAAATTCTTTCAGGTAATTAGATAATTAATTGGCGTATAACCTTTCACGATGAGAATTTTCTCATGGTAATTAACTCCGTGAACCCTAGAAGACAAGATCCGTCCTGAATTTTCTTGACCGGAAGTGGGTGTTAAAAATTGATGAATCAATCCGCGAAAAAAGAAAAAGTACAGAGGAAATGTCGGACTGAAGAATGGAGCTTAATTTTTCTCTCCCCGATGCTTTGTTCCTCCGGGATTACTGACGGCAAGAAAAGTGACTGGGGCGATCCGGGGTCCTAATCCCCCCCGTATCTCCACCCCCGAGAGAGCCCGTCGGGGTGGATAAAATGCACCATAATGATCGGTCATGATGACGGTAGAAAGGCGCGACTAGAGGTTCACATCGTGACCCTCTGTATTCCATCATGGGTCAAAGAACCCGCTCTGAATCTAAATCGAATTTTCTTTCTCACCCATGTTGCCACTTGAGCGAGCCATTGTTCTTTCAGCTCAGTCAGATGGACAGTTCTATTTTCCCGGTATAATTGAAGCCATTGTCTCGAGCCATTTGCGAGAGTAAAAAGGAAACAAGAGTGATAGGCGTGCAGTGAGGAATATGAAAAACCAAATAAACAAACAAACAGGATCACGTAGGTAACGTCATTCTCACCTGACGTAGGCTGAAGTGGACGAGTCATTGTCCTTCTGCGTTTCGCATTTCTGTCCATTGATCCACCAGGAGATTGTGGCCACGGGGATGGCGTAGACATTGCAGCGAAGAGTGACATTGGCCCCCTCATCAACCTCGACAAGTTGCTCGGTGTGAATCTCTGGTAGACAAGCGAGATCATCCAGTTTGATGGTCTTAATGGGCCGTTGATGGAGTCTTGGTGGCGCTTCACAGACTGGATCTGACTCCTGTGGTGCAGCTTGTGCTGATTGCTTGAGCCAATCCTGCATGGGACGCAGGCGACAGTTGCACAGCCAGGGATTATTGTGAAGTGTTAAACCGTGAAGATTGCCGGTGAGGGGCAGTGTCATATCAGGGATGTAAGTCAGCCTGTTGTCATTCAGTCGCAACCACTCGAGCGATTGAAGACCATTGAAGGCGCCTTGCTCAATACTAGCCAACTGACACTTGCTCAACTCCAGTGTTGTCAACTGCGTCAGGGGTTTGAAGGCATCTCTTGACAGTCTCCTGATGGGATTGCCACTGAGGATTAGCCTCATGAGGCTTGGACACGATGAAAATGTCTCCGATGGCACATCGATGATGCTGTTGACACTCAAATCCAACTCGACAAGGCCCACAAGACCCACAAAAGCCTGAGGTGATATGTGGGTGATGTTGGACTTCGATAGGTACAACTTCTGAAGATTGACGAGTCCCAGATTTCTGAATGCCTCTGGCTGGAGTTTTACCAGGTGATTGCTTGAGAGATCCAACACCTGGGTCTCCTCTGCTGCACCCTGGGGTATACGTGTTAAAGAACGATTTGCACATTCAACTGCCTCCTTTCCACCCTTCCATTTGCAGGCACACGGTGGGGGACAACCGATTGTTTGAGTCGTCAACGTTGCTAGGAGCACGATTATAAACCACCAACATTTGAGCCTCATCGTGGATCTCGTGGGGAATGAGAAAATGGAAGACAATGGTTAATAGTGCTCGGGCATTTTACCCTCTCTGCGCTTCCCTCTTTTTTTTTTCCACCGCTTAACGTCTCACTGGATATTTCAATCTAGCTACTCTTTTTCTCTATCCTATATTGCACCTCTTGTCTTTCTTGGTTCTCTCTCTTTTTTTTTTCAAGGGGAATGCTTGTCCTTGTCGGGATACTCCTCTTATTCTTCAAACTGATGGATCCGTCAACTATAGCTGGCGCTTCTGCCAGTCTTGCATTATTCCAATCGAGTTCATTTTAGTCTACCTCCTGGGCATACCCATCCCCACCTTGGTAAATTGATTCCCCAGGCCATTGACGATACCAACCTTCGTCGGGGTATCAGCATCCGGATTGCTGAAAGCAGATAATAAATCATTTAGGGCGTTGGACGGGTATGATGTACTGAAAAATTCATTTTCAATTCGTACGGAAATGTTTTAATTCCCTCGTCTCACTGATTTTATTTATTTTTTATTTTTCAAGTGGGGAGGGGGTTACATTATTTTGTAGTTTTTACTTAAATTGGGGTTGAAATAATTGCGAATATCTAAAATTATTAACGTCTTGTTAGAGAACATGTAATTATTATCATTCAGTGTCAAGTTGATGCTTTAAAAAAAAATCATTTTATCGTAATTATTATTACATATTAAATAAAATATTAAATAAAAAAAAGACCCATAACAATATACAATATATTGTTATGGGTTTTTTTTTTATTATTTACGTACTCTTTTGAGAATGCCAATTGACGGTTTATTCATTTATTCATTATGAAATACTGAATTAATCTGTTTATGGTTGTTTAAACATAGAAAGATGTGAAAAATTAAGAATGGAAATAATTTTAATGGGTGTCCAATGCAAGTAATCTAGATATTAATTGAAATGACATTTTCCCTCATTTCCATGGCAAACATCGTAATGAAATGGATTCCAAATTTTCTGCGTGCAATCGACAGGTAATTAAATTAATGACGACCCCACTATTTTGTTTCTATGGTAGGAATTAATTAAATGAAGAATATATATAAAGTTCTTTAATAATAAAATTGTCAGGGACAAGTGTTCTAAATTTTCAAAACAATGTCGAGAAATTGCAAAGTTTTCCCATTAAAATTCAGAAAAGTTGTGATCTTGCGTTTTATAACTTTAATCTCTAGTATTCAGTGAAAAAATCCCCAATTTTTAGGGATTCCAGGGGTTTGCTTACATTTAAAAAAAAGTGGGGATCAATCCGTGAAGATTAAAAGTTTTTTTTCTTTGTGTACAACTCATATACCTATTAAATTTCATATATTTCGAAATATGTTTCGTGGAAATATCTTTTTTACGTGAATTCTGGGCGGATGGGTTTCTTTCACGTTATATCGTTTATGAAAGTGCTCGTAACTTTTCAGGAGATTTATAAGTGAAGTTTGAGCGAGCTTTCTGCGGGGTACGATATTGTGGGAATGAAAAGTTCGGGGGAGGGATTCGGGTCAAGGCTGGTTTATTTTCATCCGAAAAGAACTTCCGTTAATAGAGATGAATTCGAATAATTCGGTCCATCGGGGGATAAATTTTCGAATGTATAACCAACACGGATAAGACACACCATTAGCATTCATAATTATAAAAAAAATTATTATATGAAAAATTATTGATTCTAATGCACTAATTTCAAGAATAATGTAGATATTTTGATGAAGTATGAAGGATACTTGATTAAAGTACGTTCTTTACTTTTTAGGGAGATGCATGATGATGATGAGGAACGTCGGGGATATTTGAATCGGGGAGAATTCACCCCGTGAAAAATAGATGAGTTTAAAGACCCCATGGGGGAGGAATGCTCGGGTCAAGGGTGATGCATATTTTCCTGGCGCCTGTCTTCTCCCACTTCCTCTTTACAGAGTACCAAGTACCAAGTACCTTCGCAACGTGGCACGACATTAATCATGCCAAATGATCTCGCCGCGTGTTCAGGAAGATTTCCTTCTCCCACCCGTTTTATAATAGAGGAACTACCAAGGGTGAGGACAACATTTAACATGGGAAAAAATTTTCCTTTGAAGAATATATTTTTAAATATCTTGAACTAGGGTAATTTATATGAAATAATAATAATAATAGTCCAAATTTTATGGCGCTTTACTTAATTACGGGATCGCCTGTGCGTGCTCCGCTTTTAATTAAAGGAAGTAAATTGTGAATTAAATCATTCTTTGCATAATTTTTTTATTAGAAAGGAATGGGATTCCCCAATTTTTGCGATTTCTTGAATGTTTGATATTTCTTGAATTTTCAAAATATTCACGCTCCTCCCGCCCCTAGGTACAATTAGTCTAATAATTCGCAGTCTACATAATTTTCCGCAATGACTACCGAATTCTTGCGATTTTTTAAATTTTTGAGATTTTTGAAATTTTAAAAATTTTGCTACAATTTTAAACAATTAAAAATTCAAGTTACTTCATTCCGTTTTTAATAAGTTACATTGTATTTTCTTTCTGTTCTCGAATTGTTCTCGTCCTTACTTTATTTTGAATTAAAAAACTCGCGATGAGAATGGGTAATCGAATTACCCAAAAATAAAAAAAACCGAATGGTAACTGAACAAGTTAAAAATCCATTCATAAAACTGAAACGATAACAATAAACATTTTAATTGTCTGAACGAAAATAAAGTGAAAATTCGTTTTTTCAACTTTGAATTTTCGTCAAGAATAAATCGATGACTCACGGAGATAGCGTCGGGTCAATGAACCCGGCTGAAAAAAAAATCCACCCTGAAGAGTTTATTGTTTCGAGAATTCTTTGAGACCTGGTCTGAATGCCCTCGGTTTTTCAGTCTCAACCTCAAACTCTTTTCACGTATACCACCCCAGATCTCCGAGGGAAACGAACTCCGAAGGTCGATGAATTTTAGAAGAGCCAAGAGATAGCGCGATACCCTGAAAAGTCTCAGGCATTTTCTCATAATGTCCCGAGAGAGACAAACTGCACACATTCTTTGATTGTGGAAAGCACACATTGAGGAGTTAGTCGGGGTACAAATGTGTTGAGAAGATCACGGAGTCGATATACCACAGTGATGCGGTTCGCCTACGAAATAGCCCTCTTATGTGCTTATATATAGCTAGGGTGAAGCCCCATTGTCACCACGAAATACCGCAGTGTCAGCATGTACCTGTGCTCAATGCAGTGCACCGAGTGATAAATTATTACGTAAGACGGGATCCTCAATATCAGTCAAACTGTCAAATCCGACAGATGATTTTTGCCGGTGTCTCTGCGGCTTCTGCCACGTGTTTCAGGTAATCTCCGGGGATTTGTGTAATTAATTGACGGGGATTAGTCGCGGTGGCGTGAATTTTTCAGGGATTTAGACTTAATACCTTGACTACAGCAAAAATTGCATTTTCCGCGGATTTATTCATTTTCTCGTTTTGTTTATTGTATTTACGATTTTCTCGTCTTTTTGCCTTGAACAATATTTTTTAATGTAAGTCGTGAAATTTGAAGGAAATTATGGAATTAATTATCAAAAATTTTTTATCGACTGGGAAGGAATTTTATACATTTTTCTGGAAAATTTATTTTTTTTTAACATGCGGAGAGAAAAATACAGGGGTTGAAGAATGATTTCAGTCATTTTTATGTGAAATCATGGTAAAAAGTGAGAGACAGTCCGTAAATTTAATTGTTTTCTCCGGAAAATTTACGGTACGGTCACGTATTTTTTGCCAACTCGCGAAATTGACAGAAATTTGAGTCTGGAGGTCGTGAGTTCAAATCCCGTTTGGATAAAAACAAAATGCTACAGTAAACTTTATGGAACTGATTCGTAAATTTTTCTATCCATGTAGAGCTTTTTCCAATTCCACCGTTCACCCCACGTTTACATCAAACAATAATTTTTCGCGCAACTTTTCGTGTACTTTTCCCAGTATATTTCTCTCCATGTGTACGGAAAAATATATACTCGAGTGAAATATACTTTATGATTGAATAATATGTACATAATATACTTGAATTAAGTATACCGTATACTTTAATCTATCTCTATTCTCTTGAATTTGAAGTACTGTTGGAATATTTGAGTACAGACCCTCCATTGTTGTACAAAAACTACTCGACAAAGATTTATGACATACTGGGGAGAATAGTCTCAGAGAAAAGACTGAAAAGGTTTACAATCGTTTCATTTCCACCTTCTAGAACGGTTTAACGTTAAACATATGTTGAAATTTGAAGAAGGACTGTGTTCTCTTGCGTCATAAACCTTAACTTTTATTCTTGGTTTTACCAGTGAGAATTTTTACTTTTATGGTCATAGTGAGTCCCTGGACGACTGTCCTCTAGTAAAGATGTGCTAACGTTCCTCATGCTAATAAAGAGTACCTTATCAAGTATTAAATGGCTTCTGAAAAAATGATTTATTCACTTGTACCCATATTCCAATAAGTTGATTTTTCCTGTGTAATGATCTCGGGAGAAATGAAATTGAGGGGGATGGAGGGGTTTAGCCCTCATATGAATAAATAATCCATCCGGCAAGTGGCATTTACCCCTGAAAATTAACATTTCAATATACCGTTCAATATTGGTTCAATTCTTGAAGGTCTTGACACGAGTACTCTCGACGTACGAGTTTTGCATGTACAATGAACCTTCCAAGTTCCCGGGAAGGGGGTGGAAAAGTAGACTCGAATTGCCACTTGGTATTCGGGGTGGTGCAGGTCCGTTTACCACCATCTTTTTTCATTTGTCCCTGTAACCCCTCCCCACCGAGCAACCCTTCATATTCACGATCAATTATTTCCGTGCTTACGCACTTATCCTCAGCAACGTCATCCCGGAAATTGGTGTGCCATATCGCCAACAAATCCTCGCTGTGGGAAACTTAAATTCAACCCAACGAAGCGGAAAATTAGGTAACGGTAAATTCATGTCATTTTGATTCGTTAAAAATTCCACTCCTTGTTCAACATTTTTCTCTGAATTCTCCGGGTCAAATTACGATTATTTTAAATCTACTTTTTAATTCTCTCATACACGGAAAAAAACATAGAAATTCAGCGCCAGCTTCATTTACACGGCAAAAATATATACTTCAATCCTATATTTATTTTTTATAAATATATATAAATTATGTGATATAAATACACATTATATAAAATATAATCAAGTATTATTTTTTTCTGTGACCATTGACGACATTTGAAAATTTATCGTATCGTATATAATTAAAAAAATCCAAGTGCAGTTATTTTGAGTTGTAATGGCTGATGAAAAAAATTGAACCCGAAATTTCATGAAAATTTCAGTACGAGAGTGCGGGTGAAATTGGCGTAAACGGGTGGCGGTCA